CCTCCTCACTAACAACCCTCTCACAAACAACCCTCTCACTAACAAACCCTCTCACTAACAACCCTCTCACTAACACCCCTCACTAACAACCTCTCACTAACAACCCTCTCACTAAAAACCTCTCACTAACAAACCCTCTCACTAACAACCCTCTCACTAACAACCTCCTCACTAACAACCCTCTCACTAACAACCCTCTCACTAACAACCCTCTCACTAACAACCCTCTCACTAACAACCCTCTCACTAACAACCCTCTCACTAACAACCCTCTCACTAACAACCCTCTCACTAACAACCCTCTCACTAACAGGTGGGGTGGTGCTAGGTGGACAGGTGGGTTGGTGGGCTAGATGGACAGGTGGGCTAGGTGGGCGGGTGAGCTGGTGGGCTAGGTGGGCTGGTGGGCTAGGTGGGCAGGTGGGCTGGGTGGGCTAGGTGGGCATGTGGGCTAGGTGGGCTGGTGAGCTAGCTGGGCAGGTGGGCTAGGTGGGCAGGTGGGCTAGGTGGGCTAGCTGGGAGGGGTGGGCTAGGTGGGCAGGTGGGCTAGGTGGGCAGGTGGGCTAGGTGGGCTGGGTAGGCTAGGTGGGTAGGTGGGCTAGGTGGGCTAGGTGGGCAGGTGGGTTAGGTGGGCTGGTGGGCCAGGTGGGCTAGGTGGGCGGTGGGTTAGGTGGGGCAGGGGCAGGTGGGTTAGGTGGGCTGATGGGCCAGGTGGGCTAGGTGGGCAGGTGTGATGATGCTTTACTCCTATAACCATTTGCTATTTATATTTCTCTCTCCCACATCACTACATATTTATCACACACACACTCACACACTCACACACACACACACACTCACACACACACACACACACCTCACACACACACACCACCACACACACACAAAACACACACACACACACACACACTCACACACTCACACAGTCCAGGAGCTCGGACTCGACCCCCGCAACCTCAACTAGGTGAGTACACACACACACACACCCACACCTTGAGGGGTGGGTTGATTGCATTTTCCTGGACTGCAGGAAGGCCTTTGACACAGTTCCCCACAAGAGATTAGTGCAGAAGCTGGAGGATCAGGCGCATATAACAGGGAGGGCACTGCAATGGATCAGGGAATACCTGCCAGGGAGGCAACAACGAGTCATGGTACGTGAAGAGGTATCACAGTGGGCGCCTGTGACGAGCGGGGTCCCACAGGGATCAGTTCTAGGACCAGTGCTATTTTTGATATATGCGAACGACATGATGGAAGGAATAGACTCTGAAGTGTCCCTATTCGCAGATGATGTGAAGCTGATGAGAAGAATTAAATTGGATGAGGATGAGGCAGGACTGCAAAGAGACATGAACAGGCTGGACATGTGGTCCAGAAACTGGCTTCTCGAATTCAACCCTGCCAAATGCAAAGTCATGAAGATTGGGGAGGGGCAAAGAAAACCGCAGACAGAGTATAGGCTAGGTGGACAAAGACTACAGACCTCACTCAGGGAGAAAGACCTTGGGGTGACCATAACACCGAGCACGTCACCGGAGGTACACATCAACCAAATAACTGCTGCAGCATACGTTCCTGGCAAACCTGAGAATAGCGTTCCGATACCTTAATAAGGAATCATTCAAGACACTGTACACTGTGTACGTTAGGCCCATACTGGAGCATGCAGCACCAGTCTGGAACCCACACCTGGTTAAGCACGTCAAGAAGTTAGAGAAAGTACAAAGGTTTGCAACAAGGCTAGTCCCAGAGCTCAGGGGAATGTCGTACGAGGAAAGGTTGAGGGAAATTGGACTGACGACACTGGAGGACAGAAGGGTCAGGGGAGACATGATAACGACATACAAGATACTGTGGGGAATAGACAAGGTGGACAGAGATAGGATGTTCCAGAGAGGGGACACAGAAACAAGGGGTCACAACTGGAAGCTGAAAACTCAGACGAGTCACAGGGACGTTAGGAAGTATTTCTTCAGTCATAGAGTCGTCAGGAAGTGGAATAGCCTAGCAAGTGAAGTAGTGGAGGCAGGAACCATACATAGTTTTAAGAAGAGGTATGACAAAGCTCAGGAAGCAGAGAGAGAGGATCCAGTAGCGATCAGTGAAGAGGCGGGGCCAGGAGCTGAGTCTCGACCCCTGCAACCACAATTAGGTGAGTACAATTAGGTGAGTTTACACACACACACACACACTGTGGAGACTTGATAACAACATACAAAATACTTCTAGCATGTTAGAAATGCTGTGACTCGCGAAATCGTAATAACACGATTGCAAACAAACCACACCACGGGGCGGGATTGAACTCGTGGCGAGTGAGTCGTAAAACTTCAGGCCAGTGGCTTCTTCAGTCCTATATAGAGAGGAACGGTTGAGAATGAATAGATTGAGGTAATCAGTCCCTCCGTCTGGAGTCGATGTGTTCAGTCCAACAGTCTTGATGGACTGGTCACATCGATTCCAGACTAAGGGACTGATCCCCTCCAACTATCACTACTTATGGACCCAAATAACCCGCACATAAGAGACTGACACTTACGACGACGTTTCGGTTCCCTGTGTACAGGCTATATGTGTATTGTCCCAGTTACGATAAGAGAGATAAGACTGTGTTGGGATTTTTAACCCCGGAGGGTTAGCCACCCCGGATAACCCAAGAAAGTCAGTGCATCAATCCAGGACTGTCTAATTTCCATTGTGGTCCTTTAATCTTGTCCCCCAGGATGCGACCCACACCATTCGATTAACACCCACGTACCTATTTATTTGCTAGGCGAACAGGGACAGCCGGGATAAGGCAACACTCTCACTTCACACACTAAGTGTCCGTGGTTCGATCCCCGGCACGGGTGGAAACATCGGGCGTGTTTCCTTACACCTGCTATTCCGTTCACCTAGCAATAAGTAGGTACCTAGGTGTTAGTCGACTGGTGTGGGTGGCATCCTGGGGGACAAGATTGAAGGGCCACAAAGGAAATAAGACAGTCCTCGATGATGCACTGGCTTTCTTGGGTCATCTAGGGTGGCTAACCTCCTGGGGTTAAAAATCCGAACAGAATCACCTTAACGTTTCTACCCATGCCTGGGATCGAACCATGGACACTCAAGTGTGTGAGGCGAGTGTTGCCTACCAGGCCACGGGACACCGACTGTGCCTCAGTATAATAATAATAATAATAATAATAATAATAATAATAATAATAATATTTATACAAGTACAAGGTATACAGACCATAGCTGACATCAATGACATACTATTATATAGAAAGCTGCTCGTTATGCACAGCATTTCGGGCAAATTAGGTCAAATTTGTCCTGGGATGCGACCCACACCTGTCGACTAACACTCAGGTAAGATAAGATAAGATAAGATTTTGTTCGGATTTTTAACCCCGGAGGGTTAGCCACCCAGGATAGCCCAAGAAAGTCAGTGCGTCATCGAGGACTGTGTAACTTGTTTCCATTGGGGTCCTTAATCTTGTCCCCCAGGATGCGACCCACACCAGTCGACTAACACCCAGGTACCTATTTGCTGCTAGGTGAACAGGACAACAGGTGTAAGGAAATGTGTCGAAATGTTTCCACCCGCCGGGAATCGAACCCGGGCCCACCGTGTGTGAAGCGGGAGCTTTAGCCACCAGGCCACCGGGCCACCTCCTATTTTACTGATATCTAATGGGTGAGCATAGATAGCAGATGAAAAGATTCCCTTGTCGGGGATCGAACCCGGACTTCAGCATGTGAAACGAAAGCTTTGCCAACCAGGTCACGACCCACCTTTTTATTATTGTTGTGGAAACATAAAATTTACCTGGATGTAACTCATCAGATACATACCAGTAAATGGTAACAAAGATAATTAATTTTTATCAAAGTTACAGAGACAAGTAGGAATTTTAGGACACCTAGGTCACAAAAAATGTCCTCCTTCGATACCTACTACTGTCATATCCACAAGTCACTCTTGACCTATATTAATTTAAAATGAATTATACATTACCAGGAATTATGGTAAACATTAATATAAATATGTGGACTGTAAGTTAAAATTAATAAATGATTACATATACACATATAACAGAAGGAGAATTTAATACCACTCACCAATTAGTCTGGAGATGACTGTGTCATGTACAGAAGCCCTGCCTAAATTTATGAAGAAAATACTGACCAGAATTTCAACACAAATAGACAACTTAGCTGTGGTTCCTGGAGCTGTCTTGTCCATCTGCTTAATGCTCACGTTATGCAGGACTGCAAATCCAACAATTTCGGCTCCTATTTGAGAGGTTTTAAGCCCAATATAACCCCTAGAGCGACGAAAATTATGCACATTACATTAACGTGCCTGTACCACATTCAAAAACAATGGCGTCTCCCCCCCCCCAGCGACACTGGTTCATTTTTCTATTTACAAATTAATTTTTATTAACTACAATATAGGCCATCAATTTACAAATAAAATACTGTATTTCCGGAAAATATATACAGTATTTTCCACAATTATTATTATTATTATTATTATTATTATTATTATTATTATTATTATTATTATTATTGTTATTATTATTATTATTATTATTATTATTATTATTATTATTATTATTATTATTATTATTATTTTATTATTATTATTATTATTATTATTATTATTATATTATTATTATTATTATTATTATTATTATTATTATTATTATTATTATTGTTATTATTATTATTATTATTATTATTATTATTATTATTATTATTATTATTATTATTATTATTATTATTAGTTATTATTATTATTATTATTATTATTATTATTATTATTATTATCATTATTATTATTATTATTATTATTATTATTATTATTATTATTATTATTATTATTATTGTTGTTATTATTATTATTATTATTATTATTATTATTATTATTATTATTATTATTATTATTATTATTATTATTATTATTATCATTATTATAGAGAAAGTTTTGTTTGATGTAAGGAGATAATGTAATAGGCTGGTAGTCCCCGCCACTTTGTTTACATCCAACTCATCCTTGTCAGGTAGACCAGAGCAGAAAAAAAAAACATATCTGTCTTCTTCATCATCAAGATTGTTGGAGACTTGTGGTAATATGAGGGAGCTGAGGTGTTCATGTGGTGTCTCTTACTGACTGTTGTGTTGGAAGTGGTATAAAATACCGCTAAGTTGAAGATTTAAGACTCGTGTGCAGCATATATCTTTATTGTTGAAACGTCAAGTTACACAGTAAACTTCTTCAGTCAGTAGTGATGAAATAACGATGTTATCAGTCCATCAGCCTTGGAGAAAAAGTACTTAAGGTGGTTAGTCCCTCAGCCTCCAGGCTGAGGGACTGACTACCTTAAGTACTTTTTTCTCCAAGGTTGATGGACTGATTACATCATCCTTACTTCATTACTACTGACTGAAGAAGTTTACTGTGTAACTTGACGTTTCAATAATAAAGATACCCAACTGCTGCACATGTCTTAATCTTCGACTGACTGTTCTGTTCATGTCATTAATGGCCTTTTGTGTGATATTCGTTAATAGCTGATTATATTTTGGGGTTATGAGGCATTGTTCCCTCAAGTGAGGTTCCTTGATTTTTTTTAGTTTAATATCTCTATTAACCCCTAAACGGTCCAAACATATATATACGTTCATTCGCGTAATGCCCCAAATTTTTTGAGAATTTTTTTTTTTTTAATAGGAAAAAGGAGCATATGGTACCCGGGCGTCCCCAGTTATTTTAATATGGTGCACAGTGAGTGCGCACACCCATTCTCTCATATCTAGGTAACTCAGGCTTATCGTGGCAGTGTTGAATGAATGACAAAGAAAACGTATATATACGTTTGGGGTGCTACGCACGTGAACGTATATATATATGTTTGGACCGTTTAAGGGTTAAGTACCCCATACCCATACTATGGGCAGTAGTCAAAAGATTACAGAGGCGCGTAATGGGTCCAGAGACTTGATGCTGGTAAGGGGCTCTTGATCTGAGCTCCAGTTCCTTAACCCTTAAACTGTCCAAACGTAAGAACATAAGAATGTAGGAACACTGCAGAAGGCCTACTGGCCCATACGAGGCAGGTCCTTTAATACGGCGCATTGATTTTCTCATTGAGAAAGAAGGTAAAAAAAAAAAGTAGATCTACATTCGGAGCGCTACGTGAGCAAACGTAGATCTACGTTTGGACAGTTTAAGGGTTAAATCAAGTCTGTGTGCCTTCTGTTCTTCCCCCCCATCCCAGGCACTGTGTGATCCCCTATGGGTTTAGCACTCCCCATATGAATGTAATAACCAGGTGCTGTAGAAAATTATTTCACTTGGATTATTAACTCCAGAGGGTTAGTAACCCATTAAATTCTCATGAACATTTATGTAATATGCCTTTTTAATATGCATTGCTTGTTTATTCTAAGTTTAATCTTAGTCTACCTGAAATGCATTGCATAAAGATGGGCTTTGCCTTGTGCAGTTGAAAAATATGCATTGTAAAACTTAGGTAATGTCGTAGAAAATAAACCTCGTTAAATCTAAACTTTGTGGCTTATTTCTGTTGAGAACTTTTAGTCTTCTTCCCTGGGATATGACCTACAAGTTTACTAACACACGTATCTGCATGCTGCTAGCTTCTTGGTCACGGCAAGGGGCTCAGGACGCATGAAGTTGATGCAACTCTGCTTTCTTTAATTAAACCTCAACAGGTTTACTACTTCCTCATGTTTATAATAATGCCTCACTCTCCATCTATATACATATATACTGTATGTTAGAAGTGATCAAGGTCCCAGAACTGAAACATTTTCTAATAAGTATGTCCAAGTGTTTACTTATGTGTTTTTCTAAACCAACTTGTTGCTATCTGTTACCAAGGTTTATACCATAATAATTTGTAACTGATATATGATAAACTAACTAACTTTGCAGTGTATATATATATATAAGGAATTTACATTTTTGCAACTTACAACTGTATCAGCATATATTGGCAACATGTTAATCCTGAAAACAGTAAACCCTGCCATCACATAGTCTCTCCTGTTAATACTACACAAAGCACATTACATTGAAACAGACCTTCTCTATCCAGCCTCCAATAGAAATATTTGTCTAACCTATTTTTTATGTTACCTAAGTTATAGCTTTTATATCCTTTTACTCTTGTGCGAGTCACTTGTTCTAACATATTATATTACTACTACTACTACTACTACCACCACCCCTAGTATTGCATCTCACTCTGAGCGTATATATACCCTCTGTGTCCATGTACTGTTTGTTACGGCTTGACAAAGCTCCTGGAGAGCGAAATGTTGCTACAATAAAAATGTCACATTAGTTGCACTTGTGTCCTTTTACTTTACAACATGTTAATAATTTATCTGAAGTTATCATAATCAGTATAGATTTATTAGGTATCCTTCTTTTTTAAGGATAATCTTAGCAATCAAAAAGTGGGCTGCAACTAGTGGATAGAGGATTAATTCTCCATTACACCTTGCACTGAATAACTAACATGAATTTAGCTCTTCATTAAATGTTGTGTCTCAGAGTAGCTCATAAACCTTTAATGGCATTGTTAGTCTTTTTATTGTGTGGTTTTTGTTAGATAACTAAAGTGTACCTCTTCAAATGGACCTCAAATTTTCAAGGACTGCATCGTAGCAGAATAAATGAGGCTATTTGATTCTCAGCCAGTTGCCCAAATGTAAACTCCTTTTGACCTGCATTACCATGGGTGTTACATCTGTTTTTTTCAGTTTGCTGATTTGTGGTTTAATTTATTTGTTTTATAAGTTTGTGTAACCAAACCCCATGAAAATGAAAATTTTTATTTCCTTGCAAAGCTTTCAATGTGTGGTTTACATATTATAAGGTATTAATTACAAAGAAAGCCACTAGCATGCCTAGGCATTTTGGGCAGAGTAATCCTGATTCTTACTGACTATTCTGTATTGACAGAGGTTATGGAGTGGTACATTTTAATATTTATTATTGCATGTTAGTGTAATAGGTAATTAAAAAGTTTAACATAAATAAGATTGACAAGAGTGAGGTAGTACAAAACATATAACAGTATTATGATTAGTATAATTTAGTAATGGGAATGGTTGTACCTCGGCATGATATGCATATTGGGTTCTGCTCCACTGCTGTATTAATAATCTTTATCAAACTGTTCGCTACACAGCTGCTAGCCAAATAGTCTTTCACAATGAAACAATTGTTATTTGGTGGTGTACCTCCTAATTTTGCAATGCTGGAACCATAAATAATATACTGCAATTGTAGGTGTTGTTGTTTTAGCGTAAATTAGTATTAATAGTTACAGGCATAAATATATAAATAATTCTTATCTTTTTTTTTCTGTGCAAGGAGAGGTGGGAAGTGAAAACAAAACAGCACCATTGAGTCACCAAGACATCAGCCGGTTACCTGCAGTATGAGTGGGGCTGGCAGCAGTGACAGTGGCCTTGACCTCTCTGGCAAGCTGATCATTAAAGTCAGTTTTTTTTTTTTTTTTTTTTTTTTTTTTTTGAGATAGCTGAAGCAAAATAAATTGTGTAATTTATAGTAAGATGAATGTAGTAAAGAGTTTTTAGATTCTGCATATTAGACATTTTGTTTTGTGAAATATAAAATGTTAATCAGACAATGTGATACACTGTGATATACATAGTTTATAGGTAGTAGGTTGGTAGACAGCAACCACCCAGGGAGGTACTACCGTCCTGCCAAGTGAGTGTAAAACGAAAGCCTGTAATTGTTTTACGTGATGGTAGGATTGCTGGTGTCCATTTTTCTGTCTCATGAACATGCAAGGTTTCAGGTATGTCTTGCTACTTCTACTTACACTTAGGTCACACTACACATACATGTACAGTGGACCCCTGAGTTTCGTGATTAATCCGTTCCAGAGAGCCCGCCGAAGGTCAAAATTCACGAAACTCGAAACCATTTTCCCCATAAGAAATAATGGAAATAAAATTAATCCGTTCCAGACACCCAAAAATATTAAAATAAAATTTTTTTTTCAAATTAAATAAAGATTTACATAATGAAAACAATCAGAAATCAAGTACATGCATTTAAAAAAATAATAACAACATTACACTTACCTTTACTGAAGACTTCTGGGTGGATGGAAGATGGGAGGAGGGGATAGGAGGAAGGTGTACTCTATTGTTTGGAAGGAGAATCTCCTTCCATTAGGACTTTAGGTAGCAAGTCCTTATCTAGGGTTACTTCCCTTCTTCTTTTAATGCCACTGGGAACAACTTGAGAGTCACTGGACCCCTGTCGCACAAAATATCTGTCCAGAGAGGTCTTTTTCTGGCATTTCTTTAAGAGTTCCCTGAAGTGGGAAACAACACTGTCATTGTACATGTTGCAGATATGGCTTGTTTCAACTTGGTCAGGGTGATACTTTTCAACAAAACTTTGCAACTCATTCCACATTGCACAAATCTCCTTAATCTTTGAAGAAGGCACCTCATCCACTCCCTCTTCCTCCTTCTCTGAAGCAAGTTCCTCGGCTGTGGTCTGATGCTGTTCCAATTGAAGCTTTTGCAGTTCGTCAGTGGTTAGCTCTTCCCTGTGGTCCTCCACCAACTCTTCCACATCCCTGTCAAAATCCCTCTGGATCGTGTTCCTCACTTTATTTACCAAAGGGCTTGCACTAGCTTTCCTTGGGTCCATGATGACTTATTTAGCAGTTGCAAGCACAAAAAAACAGTGGATTATTATGAAATGTATTTTATGAACCCACGGGGTGATGGTCACGTGTTGGTAAACAGTGGCACACTGAGCGTGAATGGCGTGGGAGACTGGCTTGGTGTGCGCAGTGACGGGTGGACGGGTACCGGACGGTCGCCGAAACACGAGTCTTTTCACGAAACTTGAGGCCAAATTTTTCCAAAAAAACTCGCCGAAGGTCGAATTTCACGAAAGTCGAGGCTGCTGAAACTCGGGGGTCCACTGTACAAGCATATATATATATACACACCCCTCTGGGTTTTTTCTATTTTCTTACTAGTTCTTGTTCTTGTTTATTTCCTCTTATCTCCATGGGGAAGTGGAACAGAATTCTTCCTCCGTAAGCTGTGCGTGTTGTAAGAGGCGACTAAAATACCAGGAGCAAGGGGCTAGTAACCCCTTCTCCTGTATAAATTACTAAATTTAAAAAGAGAAACTTTCGTTTTTCTTTTTGGGCCACCCTGCCTTGGTGGGATACAGCTGGTTTGTTGAAAAAAAAATATACATATTTGCATAATTTTAACTTGTTTATTTCTATAGTACATATAAAAGATAGAGAGATTTCATTGTTTACATTGATATGCTGTACTGCAATGGGAAAGGAAATTTACTATAAAAAAATCTTTATTGGAGTAATCAAAATAATGACTTGCTTATTCAGGCTCAGCTTGGGGAGGACATCAGGCGAATTCCCATTCACAATGAGGACATGACCTACGATGAATTGATACTCATGATGCAACGAGTCTTTCGTGGATCATTGTCTCCAGATGATGATATTACACTCAAATACAAAGTATGTCTTCTTAAGTTTTACATATACGTACTATATTAGTAGTTTAGTGTTGTCAGTAAAAAGTGATTGCTGATGCCATTCTCTCAAAGTTACTAAAGTAAAGAATAACGTTGTTGTATTGAACAAATTATATAAACAAATATTGTACGTATATGAAGGCTATGGTAAGTGATCTTCAGACGTGGGGTGTTCTGTTTCTGGAGTTTCCTGGCCAAAAGAAATCCCCTAGGCCCCTCTTCATAAAAATTACTTTCACTTAGATATCATATGATAATTCTCTACATTGTATTGCATATAGTACTATGAAAGTAAATGAAAATAATGTGTATTAATCCTGTGATTGCTTGATGGCTTACAATGTCATTATATCAGAATAGTAAAAAAAAACTTGCTTGTACAAGAACTACTGTTTATCTTCATTGATACACTGTTAAAGAATAATTAATTTTATGAGATTAATTTTTTGGGAAAGTACAATATTGTTTAACTGTCATATTTGCTGTTAGGATGAAGATGGAGATTTGGTGACTATCTTCGACAGCTCGGACTTGGCTTTTGCCATTCAGTGCAGCCGTATCCTGAAGCTGACTATTCTCCTGAATGGCCAGCGGGGCACAGCACAGGAGATGCGGGTGTGTGTAAGTCGTCATTCCTATGTGAAAGCAAAGTGTGATAGTTTTAATATACTACTTGGAAATTAAATTTTAATGTAATTAATTGAGCAGTGTTAACAATTATCATTTTTTTTATTATGTTAACAGTCATCAGCTCTGAGGCGAGAATTACGTGCCATACGTGACAGGGTAACTGCTCTTCTTGATGCCCTGGATGTTTCGGCTGAGACAACTCGCAGAACTGTCAGTGAAGTTGATACAGGTTAGTTTATTGTAATAAAGCTTATTAATTTTAAAAGTTAAGATTGTGTGATAAAAGGACTATTTGATGCTCCATACCTGGAATATAACTGGAGGGTGTTTCAGGGGTCGACTGTATTTTCCTTAGTCATCAGTAAGTTGTCATGGACTTTCCTTTAATATGTAACTGTAGTCTAGCTACAGTAATTAATAGAGATGGAATCTTGTATAAGAAAACCAGACACTGTCTCCCAGGAAAAATATTATACCCTTAGAAATTAGTGCAGTGCTAAAGAGAAATGTAGTCTAAAGTTATTCTTTTTGTATTATTGTATGTGATTCTTTTTGTATTATTGTATGTGATTTGTTTTGTATTATGTGATTTAATGATAAATTGTAATTAAATTGTAGTCTATTCATCAGATAGGGCGATATTTTTGGATCTTGCCAAAAGAAGCACTAACTATTAATAGTGTTGTAATGTGTATCAAGTTATACCTAACTTTGCAGGTGTGAGCAGCAGTGTGGCAGCTGCAGCATCACCAGCTCCTCCAGCAGCCATGCAGCTCAATATTTCCTCTAAAGAATTTGATCCATTACAGCAAGCTGAGCAACAAGTATTATAATAAAATTTGTTTTACATATTGTGCTTCAGTTTCTCTGCTTTTTCCCATCCTTTATGATATACTGATTATATTTTTAGGGGCTTTTTTTAAATAGTTTTTAATTTGTTTTGTATGCTTAAGCAAACCATCAATATTAAATTCATTCATATTAAAATCTTTAACCTTACATAGACTTAATGGGTAACAAAGTATTCAGTGGTTCATTCTTTCACATCAGCAGCAACAGCAGCAACAGCAACAGCAGCAGGTCTCCTCAGTCAGTCAGCCACATGCACCAGTCAGCACGCCCACTCCAGCTTCCTCTGCTTCTCTCCAAAGTGAAGGTCAGTATTACAGATGCACTTTTTGAGTAGTGTTCCTGCAATATTTTTCCCTCAGGTTATATCATGAAAAATTGCCTGTATACATTAATAGTTTATAAAATATAATTAATTTTTATGTATTGTAGTGGAGGGAAGGCAGGGTAGGGGTTGTCCTAGAGAAGGATAGAAGGGGGGGGTGAAGGAGCTTTTGTATGCAAAGAGCTTGGACATCCAGCAGGCATTTGTGAGCATGTTAGATAGGGGTGAGTGGAGGCAAATGGTATTTGGAACCGGGCAAGCTGTTGGAGTGTGAGCAAGGTAACATATTGTGAAGGGATTCAAAGAAATCATTAGCCAGACTTGAGTCCTGGAGGTGAGAAATACATTTCTTGCACTCTAAAGGAGGGGTGAGGATATTTGCTGTTTAGGGGGACATCTTAACTGTCGTATCTGTGCAACTCTGGCAAGACAGAAATAGTATGAATAATGGTGAAAGCATTTCTTTTTTCGGGTCACCCCTGCCTTGGTAGGAGACAGCCAGTCTGTTAAAAAAAAATATTGTAATTGAAAATAAAGAATTATTTGCAGTCAATTTGCTTATGTAAATACTGCAGATTTCAAGTGATATATGAGGCCCATTGAGTCAGTAATGTTTACAGCATCTTAAAAGTTCTTTTTTTGGTCTCACACCTTGCAAATATGTGGCTTAGAAACAGGAATGTATATGAAATGTATGTAGGATGCTTGAAGATGTAATAATATAGACTTGGGTATGTTGAATAAGAGATTTCCTGTTCGAATGAAGAATAAAAGTAGTTATGAGATAAAAAAAATGTGCTCATTGGTAAGTGTCTCCAGTGTAGTGCTACAAGGATTGATGGTTGCATTTCCAATATGCATATGCAGTATGTAAATAGCATACTTAAAAGAATGAAAAATTGTGTGAATGTTTGCAAATGATAACTTATTCAAAATAAATAATAAAAAATTATTTAAATTTCTATAACAGTTTAATAGAGCAGTGCAGCAACTGATGGGTGATGCAGTTTACTATAAGGAAATGTTATATAATGAAAATGGAAGAAAAAGGAGGCAGGCCACATGAAGAATATGGATTGTGTGAGGAAAATATTTAAAAGCATCAAATAGTGAGAGTTTATATACATAGGTGTGATTCCATAAGAAAGACTGATGCTGGATGATTACACAGTCAATGAAATCATGAGAGACTCCTTATTATATGCTAAAATATTTTTTCCTCTCTTTCTCCTTCTTTTTGTCTCTTTCCCTGTATCTCCCCCACTGTCTAATACCCACTTATAATTACCTTTCACTCTGAAGTCTTAATATGCAGCAGTGAGCATATATGCTTACCATGATGTTCTCTACTAATCTGCTATTTGTTCTTACACTAAGGCAAAAAATGTGTTTAGTTATGTATATCACATCAGTTATAAAGCAGAAGACTGTGAGAAAACCTGCTTTCCATTTTCTTCAGTTGAAGAACTGTTATAAAAAATAAAGCTGAATAGCTGAAATTTACTGCACATAGCTTTCATTTTTTGTTTTCTGCTTCTGGGTTGGTTGCTTGAATTAATTTAAATGTGAACATTAAATTGTTTACCTAAAATTTCATTTAGTAGACCTGTTACAAAATATACTTCAAGGACCCAATATTAAATCGTGTTAACATTGTCTTATGTAGAGGCGTGCTAGTGTGCACTGGGAAGGTCCTTGCCTGTTTGTTTGAAAGCATTGTATGAAGGCAGTCCCAACACTAGAATGCTAACTTCACTTCCGTCATGTACACACTATCCATTTGATTTTCTTTTTAGTTTCTGGAATTGTTGAAGAGCAAAGAGTGTACCAAGACATCATGTCATCTTTTGGGTTATCCCAAGGTACAGTGAATTATTGCATAATATTGAGCATGTTGTCAGCTGGTACAATAGTTCATGTTCTTTCTAAATGTGTGAGCATATTCATAGCAATTACTTCTTAACTGCTTGTATAAAACAGAAAATTGAGTAAAAAAACTAATGAATGGAATGTTTTACAGTTTTTAATAATTTTGTTAATACATTAACACAAATTCAGTGCATCAATAGCTATTTGTCAATAACTTGAATTGTGCTTCAGTCTGGCAAAACTCAGTTTTTATCTGGAATTGTGATGTCAGAATTCTTCTGGCAAGACAGTGATTCAATGAATGATGGTGAATGTGTTTTATTCTTTGGGGTCACCCTGCTTTGGAAGGAGAGAGAGAAAAAAAGTGTGTATGTGTTTGAATTTGCATTGGTGTTTGTTTATTTTTTTTTTACACACTAGTCTTCCATTGAGGCAGGGTGACCTGAAAAAGAAGAAACAAAAGTTTTTCTTTTCTTTACGTTTAATAATTTATAAATGAGAAGAGGTTACTAGCCCCTTGCTCCTGGCATTTTAGTCATCTCTTAAGACATGCATAACTTGTGGAGGAAGGATTCTTCACTTTTCCATGGAGTTTATTTATTAATACAGTCGACCCTCAACTAACGGCGGCATTAAGTAATGGCAATTTCGTCTAACGGCGCTTTTTGCCGTAGAAAAAATGCCTTAACCAACGGCGAGAAACTTAACCCACGACGTCAGTGTGCCATTGTTTACAAGCTGTTGCGGTCGGTTTCCACGTGTGCCTCCCGTACATTTTGGATTATTCCACTGTTTCTAGTGCTTGTCACCGCTAAATAAGCCACCATGGGCCACACTGAAGCTTCTAGAGCCAGCCCTTTGGTAAAGGATGTGAGAAACACGATAGAATTCAAGAAAAAGTTTGTAGAAAAATACAGAAGTGGTGGTGGTAGAGGGTGGTAGTGGTTGTGATGGTGGTAGAGGGTGGTACTGGTTGTGATGGTGGTAGAGGGTGGTACTGGTTATGATGGTGGTACTGGTTGTGATGGTGGTAGAGGGTGGTAGTGATGGTGGTAGAGGGTGGTCCAGTGATTCTCAAGCTGGTCCTAGTGGCATTAAAAAACCAAGAAGGGAGGTAACCCCACCAAAGGACTTGGTACCTGAAGTCTTTATGGAAGGGGATTCTCCTTTCAAGCAATAGACAATTCTGAATTTTCCCTGCTGCTGGCACATCACTCATCAACAACTCCACAATAAAGGTAAGTGGCACTTAATTATTGTGTATTTTGCATGTCCCATTCCTTTCCATATAAGGAAATGTATATTTCATGTAAATTTTTTTTTCAGACTTTGGGGTGTTAGGAACGGATTAATTCTATTTCCATTATTTCTTATGGGGGAAAATTAACTCGACCAATGGCAATTTCGACCAATGGCAAGCCCTCTGGAACGGATTAATGCCGTTGGTTGAGGGTCCACTGTATATTGATTTAATCTCCCACCAAGGCTATTTGCAGTTTTGAACTGTAGTAGTTCAAAACTGCAGTTTAGAACTGTTCAAAACTGCAGTTTAGAACTGTTCAAAACTGCAGTTTAGAACTGTTCAAAACTGCAGTTCAAAACTGCAAAACTACAGTGATGGTGAAAGTTTTTTTTGTTTGAATCCACCCTACCACAGTGGGAGATGGCCAGTGTTAAAAAAATATTTGTATATGTGTGTATGTATAACAGCCTATATGTATTCACCTATATGTGGTTGCAGGGGTCCAATCATAACTCCTAGCCCCACTTGCCAAATTTGTTCCCAACTATCCTCGTGGGCCCTATCGTACCTGCTCTTAAACTACGTATGGAGTCTGCCTCCACCATGTCTTCAAGCTCATCTGTCTCTCACTTCCTGTGCCCCCTAGTACTTGTTTCCTACCTCTCAAAAAGCCTGTTCCTGTCTTTCCTATCAGTCACTCTGATTATTTTGTGTGTTTTTATCAAGTCTTCCCTGGTCCTTCTGTCCTCTAGTGTCATATTCAGTTACGTTTGCCTCTCTTCGTAGCTCATAACCTTTAGTTCTCATACTAGTCTCATAGCATACTTCTGCACTTTATTAAGTTCCTTAACATGCTGTCATTGAGTTCTATGCTGGTGCTGCATAATCCAAAATGTGCCTGACATATGTTGCATAAAGTGCCCAGGATACTCTGTTCAGATTCCTGAATGTTTGCCCTCAGATTTGCCAAGTGAGCAAATCTGTGTGTTTGTTAAGGTGTGGAGTAATATTGTAATTAAATAAGTAAATAAAAAATAAATGTTTTATTTACTTATTTTAGCTAGCTTGCCACCTCCTGCCAAGGCAGGGTGATACAAACATGGAAACACATTCACCATCATTCATATAACTGTTGTCTTTTCAGAAGTGTTCTGACATTACAGTTGGATTACCCTCCAACTGCAGTATCCCCACCCCACAGAGTGTAGGCACTGCCCTTCCCAACTCTAGGACTCATGTCCAGTTAACCTGTTTATCAGAATCTCTTCATAAAGGTTACCTTGCTCACACTCCAGCAGCACATACATTAACCCTTTCAGGGTCCACAGGCCCTCTCAGAGACTTGTTCTCAGGGTCTCCCAAATTTCAAGAAAAAAAAACTATTTTTTTCTTATGAAAAGATAGAGAATCTTTTCCCAATCATAATGACACCAAAAGTATGATATTTGATGGAAAACTTACGGAATTATGCTCTCGCGAAGTTAACGGTCTCGACGATGTTTACGCATCGGCAATTTTGCCCAATTTTAACCCTATTTTCGGCCAACTCCAGTATACTAGTCGACAAAAATCATAACTATTTTGCTAGAACTTCATTTTTTCTATCGAATGAGTACAAGAAACCACGCATTTACTAATTTCAACTATCCAATACAGTGGTCAGAATTTAGCAATTTTGCCAATTTCACACAAATTTTAAAAGATGCCAATTTCCAAATAGGGTCCAGAATAAACAAGAAAGACATTCCTGGCACTAAAATAACAAGTTCTCTGTTCGTTAGTCACATCCCCATGCCCCTCTTATATTTCTTTGGCTTTTCACTTTGAATTTTTATTCTCACAAAAAAATAGAAGATTTACTGTTATGCAGACTACTGCATTAGTGTAGAAATGGTATAAATAATATCAGCGCACTTGTGAAAGAATATTAGACTCACCAGTTGACGTATATTGGACGCTTGGCATGATTTGTTTACTTTTGAACTTTGGTAAAAATTAAGCATTTCTGCTACTTTGAGCTCAATTTCAAGGTACTTTTCATTGTAAAACCAGTCAAAATCATCTCAATTTCTGTAATATGTCTTCCATTCGATAAAATGAGACCATGAAAACTAGAATACAACAATAAATACCATACAAAAATACAGTGCAAAGTCACTGTTTTAACCCAAAAACACGGTCAAAGTTTTTTTTTTCTCATTACGCACTGTGTGCTGCAGGATTTTTTTTTATACTGTGCACACTGACCACATAAACCCATTCTTTCATATGTAGGCCTACCAGCTTTCTCACACTAGATTTGAGGCGCTAGAATTTAGGCATACTAGTACGTCAAAAACCCTGGGGCGTAAGCTGTACTAGTACGGCCGAAACCCTGAAAGGGTTAAAAACTGCTTGTCTAAATTCACTACTAACTAATATGCTGACTTAATCCAGCAGGATGCTACAGCTCCTAGTACTCAAAACCTGTTGAGAAATGGCATTACCAGCTAAGTTTAAACAGTGAAAACTTAACTTAAGGACAACTCATCGCCTGCACAGCCGCCCCTGCAGACGAGGTCTAGAAGCTGTCGAAACCATCTCACAACGGGCTGTCAAGAAATATAATTTGTAAGATTATAAATTACCCCTAGGGGGTGTTATGTCAGCATATTTCATTCACTGATGGCTGACAAAATACATACTTGTTTGGACTCAAAAGTCCACACCTTACTGCCGACTATAGGTTGATTACAAACTCCTTGCGACTCAAGAACTGCGCAGTCCCCGTACCACAAAAAATTTTTAACATACCTTGCTCTTGTAACGTGAGCATGGTGTTCTTCACACTTAACGGGGTAAAATGAAAAAATGTTGTATTAAACCTGTGATGCTTGAATGGCTTACAATGTCATTAAATCAGAATAGTAAAAAAAAACTTGCTTGACAAGAACTACTGTTTTATCTTCAATAGATACACTGTTAAAGAAACTAATTAATTATATGAGATTAACTTTTGGAAAGTACAATATTTTTTAACTGTCATATTTCTGGGATGAAGATGGAGATTTGGGTGACTATCTTCGACCAGCTCGGACTTGGCATTTTGCCATTCAGTGCAGCGTATCCTGAAAGCTGACAATCTACCTGAATGGCCAGCGGGGCACAGCACAGGAAATGCCGGGTGTTGTAAGTCGGGTCATTTCCTATGGAAAGCAAAGTGTGATAGTTTTTAATATACTACATGGAAATTAAATTTTAATGTAATTAATTGAGCAGTGTTAACAATTATCATTTTTTTATTATGTTAACAGTCATCAGCTCTGATGCGAGAATTACATCCATACGTACAGGTAACAGCTCTTCATGATGCCCTGGATGTTTCGGCTGAACAACTCGCGAACTGTCAGTGAAAGTTGAAACAGGTTAGTTTAATGTAATAAAGCTTATTAATTTTAAAATTAGATTGTGTGATAAAAGGACTAATTGATGCACATACCTGGAATATAACTGGAGGGTGTTGCAGGTCGACTGTATTTTCTTAGTCATCAGTAAGTTTGTCATGGACTTTTCCTTTAATATGTAACTGTAGTCTAGCTACAGTAATTAAAGAGATGGAATCTTGTATAAGAAAACCATACACTGTCTCCCAGGAAAAATATTATACCCTTAGAATTAGTGCAAGTGCAAAGAGAAATGTAGTCTAACGTTATTCTTTATGTATTATTGTATGTGATACTTTTGTTTATTGTATGTGATTGTTTGGTATAGGTATTTAAGATAAATTGAATTAAATTGTAGTCTATTCATCAGATAGGGCAGATTATTGGATCTTGCAAAAGAAGCCACTAACTATTAATAGTGTTGTAATGTGTACAAGTTATACC